TGTATTAAATGATATTGTATCATAAAAGTTTACAACTTCATTTCATTCAGTCAATGGTTCCATTTTAAGAAGTTTACCGATTTGGCATCCATTTTGTGGCTGCAAATTAGAACACCACTGAAACATCAGTGAAACTTGTGACATTCACTGCCTTGAACGTTGGGCCTTCTATAAAGAATCAGCATAGAGTGTCACGATAGCTACAGTTTTAATGTTTGGGAAAGCAGTTCACTAGTCGAACGTTTGGATACTGGTAAGCAGGCTCCAATAAATTGACATCAATCTGTTAGCCGTAAATATATAGATTCAATGTGATATTTTTGCAGTAAGAAAAACAAAGCCAAAGTTCATTGACGATTGCTGCTTGATCGGTTCGGCTTTTCCGCACAGTTAGCACAGTCAGCTGGTCCTAATATTCAAGCTGTTGCTCATAGGAAATCATATTAACTATTTAAACTTTCAAATGCTATTTGACTTTGTTTTGACTAGTGACGAATTATGCGGATACGATTAAAATACTACAAGAAGAATAATCCATTTCTTGCATAGGGAATTAAAAATCATTGTATATTCTAGCTAATGGTTCGCCCCTTTTCGTACAGTATGCTGTTAAGGGCTCTAACGAATCGAAACAACTGACGGTGAAATGTATTTTTATTCAAATCAGCTAATGTGCAAAACAAACATACATAGGCATTCAACGACTTCTTTCAGACATTAATCGCAACGTGATAGTAAAATTTTCAGTTTCAGGCTGATAGGCTCTTCTTTAGCCATTAGTTACGTGCATGTCGGCGAATAGCATGAGCATGTCTTCTGCAACTTCAGCTGCAAGGTTAGTCAGGGTGAAATTGTACAACGCTGGCATGTGTATGCCACTAGCCAACACCCAGTTTAGGTTATGACTTAAGTACTTCTGCGAAATAGATGACAAAGTGTCAACATCGTACGATGTGAAAGTAGTTATTGAGGAATAAAAGTTCAATACATTGACATCGGTTCGTTCAGCTGTGCCTCTGATGACGTCATTGGTTACATTAACTGCGATAGTACTGTTGAAATCGAGATCAAAACTAAAAAGCGCCAGTCTTGTCTCATTTTCGTCTCTTGAGACAGAAATTTTCAGCAGTCCGCTAAAGAAAGCGAAATCCGTCATGAATTTCATTCTTGGTGCGGCACGGGTAGTTATTTGGATGGAAAAATTACTATATACCAAAGTGGTAACATTCTTCAACGGTTTACTTTTAAACTGAGTTTTCAAACACCGTGTCTTCAGGAAGGCTTCAATTTCTGGATGGTCACTGCTGCTTGTAACATATTCGAGCATTCCCTGATTATATGCGCTGAAATATAAACGTTACACATACCTAGCGACGAGTAGCATAAGAAAGCATAACACTGCGTCAATGTAGATCGGATTCTGTGCTATGCTAAACACAGATTCAACATAGTTTATTGACAAAAATGGCAATGAAAGGTATGTATCAGTGCCTATATGCTTAATCGGTGACAGTCAAGATATGAATGAACTAACTCGTCAACGGTTTTTACCTTATCTGTAAAATGAAGCAATCCCAAACAAGGAATTTAATAACCAGAAGCAATTGTTTCCTATGTTTTGAAGTTGCTAGAATTAAATTTTCGGCGAAGCTTAGACACATTAAGTTTGATTCTCCAAATGTTTCAGTCTTGATTACATTTTTCTAGATTCTGACTCGCATCGCACCAGTCATTGAATTTTTAACGCAGCTGTTTAGTCTTAGCAAGGGTCTTTAAGGTGAGTACAAGATGGCAGATCTGCGATCCAATAAAACTCACCTTCGATGTTGCAATTTTCAGTGAATGAGCGATGCACAGAATCGCAAGGAAAGGTCTGTTCAATCAAACCCATTTGCGTTGTAAGTTTCGCTCTAAAGTAATGCAATGAAAAATCCTCTCTGATCGTAGACGTTCTTGATCCATGGGCTAGTTTGTAGTTAAACAGTCGACCAATACCTCATGACGAGGAATACAACTGAAATTGACGGTACAAACGGTCACTGACACCTATGTTCGCTGCGCTGCTTGTTTATTTGATTCTTTGCAAAGGACAGGACTAACACCAGTCCGCAATGACTACATCTTGACTGCGAGGAAACCTGTGAGTTACGCATAAATCCCGCCAAAACAATGCCCTTAAATGGCTTCAGGACGTGGCCACAGAGTAATAAGGAGATTGGCTTCAAACTCAGGAGGTGTCGGGTCTGAATACATAGAAAGGACTATCTTTGCCTAGCGAGCGAACTCTCCTGATCAAGGAATGCATCCAACTTTGCTTCAGTGAAAGTTGCCGGACCCAACACAACATGAGAAAGAAAGAGGGTTGACGACCGTGACGAAATTTTCATAAAACTTAGTCATCGCTCTTCATGGCGCTGCTGGTATCGAAGATAAAACCTGTTAGGTCGTGATTCGGATTATCAGGAGTCACGCAGGATGCTGAGGAACTGAAGCAGAGCGCAAAAAATCAGCAATCGAAACCACCTTTACGCTTTCTGTCAGTTGGGAGCATCGCAGCGCGATGGCGGCTGCCTAAGATGAATATGTAGATGACGAAAGTACTGGTAAGCAATGGAAGCGCTTGCCGTTCTGAACGGAGGAACCAGACAGCGCGATGCCATTAAGGCACGTAAGACAAGATTCCATGGGTGCGATACTTACAGTCGGAGCTCACAGACATAAACTGGGACATCTCCTCGCACTCCTCATTCAGAATGATAAAGGAGTAACTTGTTGTCGAGGCTGCGAGTTATCGACTCCATATACTCGAACTCTCAGTTGACAACGTGACGCAACAATTGAAGAATATGACACGTGACATGTACAGAGTTCGACCCACCTGTGAAGCAAACTGTTGATCGGACAATCTGAAACAAGAAAATTTAGCATCGCCTGCTTTCCGGTACCGAAGTGATTCAGTGGATTGCAAGGAAAATCTGATTCTGGTTCAGCAGTTGAAGAAAGACGACCGTCGATCGCGCAGTCGATATGTAAACGTTCAATTAAGATGTCCTCGACCAAGCCGTAGTTCAGACTGAGAAATTGATTAATAGGAAACGAAACAGGCATAGTAGTGATTCGATCGTTCAGCATTTGCAAAACTGCCGTTTCAGCATGCTGGCACATCTGATTCTGTACCACGATCTTAAAGGCTCTCACCACGGTACCCTTGAAGTAATTCATAGCATGCGGAATTATCCCGTCGCCGAACAGCATGTCAAAGCTTTCCATCTCAACATCACATGTGAAAAGTTTAATTTTCGGCCTTGAGTTAAGTCCTCGCTGAACGGAGAAGAATACTGACCAACCTATGTTCCTAGCTGACACATTCAGCGTGCCGCTCGCCCTTGCCGTCAGCAGAATGCTATACCGAACCGACCACTGGCCCGTCAAGTCCAATGAACCGTTGAGTGCCATCCATTTGATTCCGTGCCCCGGAACCAGTTCGTATGAGTAATTTGGAGCAGTCAGAAGCGTCAGGTGGAGATTCCAGAGAGTAAAATCGCCACGTCCAAGCCATAGAGTGAAGTTCAGCCGTAACGGTGGAATTTCCATAGTTTTAATGAGACGATTTAATGACTTTTCGGCTACTGCGTTTATGTAATCCAGCCCGCCTTCGGTGATTCGTATTCTGATGCCGGGGTTGTTTCTGGCAAACGCAAAATAGTTCCAACTACCGATCAAGCAACAACAACGAAGCAACAAAATGCCTGAAAATCACATTACATCAGCAAACCGAATCATTTATGCATTATTTAATATTTCAAAGCTTAACAAATATGCGTATAAGAATCAGCGTTGGGCCATTTAAAACAGTATCAGTCTGCCCTCTAAACGTCTAGAAGAAAACTTTAGACAGTACATGATAGCTGTGATTCCTATGCAACTGCACACTTAAATAAACAATTGTAAAGGATTCCATTAAATAAATACGACTGGAAAATAACGTTTATCAACTAAAAATCAGCGCTTATTATAGTTTAGTAGTGATTCAAAAATTCATAGTTC